AAAGAGAAACAAATAGCAGGAAGGAAAAGGACAGATGAACCAAGGAGAACAAAAACAGCTAAAGAGGATGGACAGCCACCTCTTGTCTTTCAGAATAAGTGGAGACTTGGAAAAGATTCTGAAAACAGTGACTAAAAAGCTTTTAGGTACTGCTGCAGTACAGTATTGGATTTGACAAATAGTTGTCACATGGCCAATTTAGCATGGCCTTCCACAACCTAGTGCCCTGATGTAATGGTGTATGGGAATGACCTTGGGAGACAGGAGGAACAGCTGCAGACTAGACAATGGTCAGATAAGGGGCAGCTGAGCCCACAGAAGGAATGGGGATGTGGCAAACATCTCAGAAGGGACCCTCCCTAGTTTCTTGGGCTGTAAAGGCAAGGGGGGAGAGAAACTTTCAGACTTGCAAGATTCTGTTAATGTAACCTTACAATAAAGTTAAAGCTAGTACTTCTGGGTGTGCTTCTGGTCTGGACTATCTCATAAGGCTGATAACTGTATAAGTGAGTTGTCAATTCCCAGAACTCCCGGCAAACATCTGAAGGGAACCAGGGTGGAGAACACCTTGACTTTGTTCAGATGAAATACTGGTCTGGGCAGGGCAGGGCAGTGAAATGGGCTAGCCCATTATGAGGAGATTTGAACCTGGTTCTCCCCATCCCTAGTTCTAACCATCCCAACCCTCCAAGATGCAGCCGTTCCAGGGCAACTCCCCCATGGCTTACCGGTTCCAGGTCTTGAATGCATTGCTCGCTCTCTTGAAGAGGTAGCCTTCCATCACCACTCCGTTGGGAGCATCAACATTGAATTCCACTTTGGATTCATCGTAAGAGAAGTCCTAAAGGTCCAAAGTAGAGGGTAGAAGGGAAAAGAGATGACCCAATGTTGGGACTGCTTTGTCTGGCCAATACAACAAAGCAATCCTAAATACCTTTATGCTAAAGAAGGTTGATTTGGGCAGATACTTTAAGTAGGATTGTGGTCATAATCTGGGTGAAAGCTGACCCAGTCAGATAATGTAGCAGGTTACAACCTTTCAGCCACATTCATCCTTTATGCTAAGCCATCACAGAATTCGTTTGGTTTTGGCTTAGTGAGGAATTGGAACTCTGATGCTATGGCCCCAGGGATTCCTGTGGCCGTCCAATCTCCTTTCTTTTGGCTCCTTCCAGCCATGATTGCTGAGAACCAATGACCAGATGGGAAAGACTCAAAAATTGTAGCAGTAGTCCTACAATAAGTATAACATGATTGAAAGAACGATGGCGGGAAAAAAGCCGAAAGCCAGGAAAATCCCAGCCTCACTCACTTGCAAAAAAATGTTCAGAAAGACTCCCCCACTATCAAAACGCATTTTTACAAAAGGCTTGGATGCCCCTTCCCATTAAAAAAAATAATAATCTTGAACTAAGTGTGGGTTTATGTCAATACATCATAGTTAAGCAAGTCATGAGTCATCCAGATGTGCGAATGAGAACGCCAGCAGAGGGCTTCATAGTTCTTTTTTAAGCCACAATGTGGTTTGGTTTAATTATTTTTATTTTACATACAAGAGGTCTATCCAGCTTTCCATCCTCAAAACAATTCCTGAAAAAGCAAACCATCTATAATAAGTTGAGAACAACTGAAACAAGTTCTAAAAATACAAGTTTAGGCTCCATGTGCCAAGTGAATCCAGCCACCAGGATCTGAAAACCGCAACGTATGGTCATGTCTGGTATGGATACTCAGCCAAATGTGATTTATTCTAGAAACCATGGCTTAGAGCAATATGCAAACCCTGCTCAGTGTGTGCTGTTAAACACAGATCCTCTGTATACAATTTCTCCTCTCATTCTGGGATGTTGGCAGCCCTCTGCCTCAAAGCCTTAGTCCTCCTAATTAAAACTTCCTAGAAGTATGAAGCCAGATAGAGCCCTTTACATGGTACCTCAGGATACGAACGCCTCTACTAATGAACTTTTCGGGTTACGACCAGCTCCGGCTGCAAAAATTTACCTCAATGTGCGAACTCCGCCTTGGGGTACGGTCATTTTTCCGCCCTGACACGTGGTCTGCGGCCGTTTTCCCGCCGCGCAGCGCCCGGCCGTTTTCCCGCCCCTGATGCGTGGTCCGCGGACGTCAGAACGGATTAACGGTAATTACGTTGAACCTTATGGGAAAATTTGCTTCGGGGTGCGACCAAATTCGGAGGGCAGAACGGATTA